TATATCATTGGTTTAAGTTGTCGAAAATTAATATTTCAATTGTGAGGTTCGCATTAGCATACATTTATAAGAGTGGGGAAAAGTATATGCATTTTTTAATAGTTTTTTGAATATGGCTCTTTGAAGACGAAAAAGCAGACGAAAAGCATAGACTTACAAAATGACTGATAACTAAATAACTAATCAAAATTTTTGAAAAAGAAAAAAAATACTTCTTCATTATGCCAAAACACAATTATGGGCCGAGTTTCGTGCCCGGGCGAGGCTTCTGGGGCGATATATTGTGATTACAGACACACACACAGCCTCGTTTATTATTATGTATAGATATAGATGTATAGATTATGAATGTATATTAAAAATCGTTTGATTTTTAGGGTTATCGATTGTTGGGCAGAAATATTCTAATATTAACTTTTTAATAAATTAATGTTTCGAAAATCTTTACAGAAGTAAGTTTCTGCTTAATAAAAGTCTTAAAACAATGACTAAATGCTTTTAAAAGTTCACCTTACTATAGATACTAAAATAAAAATATTAAACAATGATAAATAATATTGTTAATCCAAACATAGAAGTTTTAAAGAAATTTAACGATGCTATCTGTTTATTATTTATGAACCCTGTTGAAGTTTTACTCGTAATAAAAAAATTGAATTCGAAGGATAATGCTCGCTGTTAGTAAAAAAGAAAAACAGATTAAATATGCCTTCAAAAATATTCACCTATCTTAATTTGCACTATCTCCAAATCAAAAAGACATGCATAACTCAAAATAAACAGCAACAGCATATAATTTTCGATAAAGTGCCGCCATTGCAAAAAAATTGCATTTCAGATTTTATCAACTTTTCGTTCTGAGTTACACTTATCTTTTATTTCTTTCCACTAAACAGTTGAAGAAAAAAGATAAAGAAAGCTATAAAAACGTTCCCATAAAATTTTCAACAGAATTTATTCTCAGTTTAAAATCGATTTCTGATTTTGATTGCTTGGTAAATCCTCAGCATCAACCGGAGCTCCCGAAATAAAATGATAATAATAATAAAAAAAAGAATTCATTTGTTTTCTTGCGAATTAAACCTGAATTTCTAGCTCGTGAAGAGAAATTGCTTTCGAGACAGGATTATGAATGTTTTCACG